AACCCAAAGCTGGTTTGAGAGCTGACAAGTAAAACTGCCAGTGGGTAAGGCTTTTTTTTCCTAGCAAACATCCGTCTTTATAACTGCATAGGATTAGAAATGTCGGTAAATCAGATCTACCTCCTGCCAGTTGTGACCCCTCCTGCAATTTGTTTAACTACCCACCAGCAAGAGAATTGTGAAAGCTGGATTTCATGTGTGCTGACTGCTGAGACTTACAGCATTTATACTAAAACTGTGCTTAAAGGAGCACGTAGCTAATTGAAAACGAAGATTGACCATACTTATAAAACAGCATTTTCTTCCAAGAGACATCTTTAAGTGCATCAATACATTTTTCATTTTAAAGCTGAACGCAGTAATTCTCACTACCTTGTTTTAAGGAATAACCTCGCTCATAGCGGCAGTAAGGAGTCAGAGGACCAGTACACGCAAGCAGTATTGGTGTGCCAGGTAGTCTGGTGACCTTGCTGCTGGCTATGTTGTTTTATTTCTGTTTTCATGGTTTTTATTGTAGTAGCTTTGGAGATGCTGTTCATGAGAGCGTGGGAGGGACGCCTGGGCCAGGTTTTCCTCCCGTCTCTTAGGGCACTGTGCGTGAGCCCGCTGGGGAGTCTCTGAGCCCACGAGTGGGAGGTCAGGAAAGAAACTGTGCAGCTAGTTCCCCATCTGCTGTGCTTCTGATTAAAGTATTAAGTCTCCAGAATGAGTACTTCCCCATTTCATTGTCGCCAGGAAACCCCACAGGTTTTGGTTCCCAAAACCTTTACCCAGTGGTGGCCCCCCTGCCGCAGCAGCAGTCCCGGTGCCCTTCTCCTTTCTGCTGCCTCATTCACGAGAAAGGAAGGAGCAGGCTGCCATTGTCGGGGCCCTGCTCACCGAGGGGGACAGCCTCTTCCCTCCTCCTTCACGTAGCTTGACCTCGATACTTAGGCAGGTATATAATTTCTTTTTTCTGCGACCCCTCAGCAGAGTCCTCCTGGGAAATTCATTGTGTGGGCCCAGGCTCTGTCTGAAGGATTTGGCAGCTGTTTGTTCTGCCATGCTTCTTGTAGGGGTGCCACCGTTGCCGGGCCTGGGGACCTCAGCTGGGTCGCAGCAGCCCCAGGTGTATGTATCTCAGACGCAGGACCTCATCCTCACGTCCCTATGCAGCGACGTCCACCTGGCTGTGGAGCCTGCCCTTCTCTCCGTGATGCTTGCTTGAAGCATCAACATTCAACAAGTTTATATATAGCCTGTGAAAGGGTGAGGAAAGAGATATGTAAAATGGCCAGAACTGTTTAATTACTTATTTGTAAAGCGGTGATTTGGATACAGCATTCACTACGAAATAAGCAAAAATTCTGCACTTCAGAATAATGACAAACGGTGACCAAGGGCTCGGGTAGGGGCAGAGCTCTGCTCTGCTCGTCAGGACTCCCCTCTGGCTCGTGCCTGCTGCGATCCGTCTGCAGTGAGGAAAATGGAAAAGCTCGGCTATAGACAGAACCTCAAATGGCTTGTAACCAAAAGGAGAGGTTTATTTGGTTTAGAGCTTAGAAAAACATACAAACCTA